TAGTAGCAAATTGTCTAAATAATCTCAACGTCTTCAGCCACCGCTGACGTACAAAAATATTGGCGTCAAACTATTACCACCACCATCACCGCTACCGTCACCATCACCACTACCACCACGAGCGAATACCGATATCCGCCGTTCGCCACGAAGTGACGGTAGCGTCACCACAGCGCCTGTACCAGGCAAGGTGCACTTTGAGGCCACGTGCAGTGTCGATGGCTCGCTGACAGGTCTCTGGACATACCAAGGTGCCATGGGTTGCCTGGCTGAGATGACCGGTAGATACACCAGTTGTACCCCCTACTGTGCCAACTTGCTGCATTTTATCCGCCCGGTGCTCCACTCGTTGTTGTGAGCGTCGCTCCTCTGCCAACCGTTGTTGCTGGAAGGTGACTGCGTCCAACTGCCCAGAGGCGTCTTTCACGAGCCTCCTCCACAGAGGCCGATCTTGACGCCGCTGGTACCAGTCGTCGGCAAGTCCACTTAGCTCCACATCCTCCCATACGCATCAGTCCATCTCTTCTCCAGCCCATGTCGTGCCCCCCAGCACCACTACCACCACCAGCACGTGGTCGAACCCAGAAACAAATGCAGATCATTGTACTGGCCTAGAAAACCTACAATTTGAAAGTTAACTCAAGTTAGTATATATAAACAAGGCTGGTGTTCATGCCAAATAGAATTAAATCTCGTTGAATTCTTTGTGTTGGTTGTACCATGTTGATTAATGACGTTGCCATTCGAAACTTGATCGTGTTAAATTGTTTGCATTGTTCATATATTGTTTGTTGTCTTTTACGGTTATCAGGTGTCCATGATGTAACCTGCAGGTTCCCGTACACAAGTCGACAACGGGCATTAATTACCCAATGGCATTTAACCTGTGCCAACAATTAACTCAGCTAATAAATTGGGCCCCTCTTTCTCAGACATACCCCCGATGAACAGGTTTCCACAAAAAAAAGGTATTTGTTGAGTCCAAGGTCAAGGTCGGTCTGTCTGTGGATAAAAAAACAATACATCCGAATAGCACGGTTGGTTACGTCTGGTGCGAAGGAAGTTCAACATACATACATGCATTGTTTAATGTCAAATTAAGATAATATATTCCTGTGATCTGACCTGCATGGCCGGTGGTGAATTTATTTCTCGGACGCAGGGAATAACAGCGCAGGCCAAGCCCTGACGCTGTGGACTGGTCCCAGAACACACATTCTGGGATGGAAACAACATTCTCAAGCAAATGGAGTTGACAAAAATAACACAGAAACGGTGCAGCTGGGATGGCTACTCGCGTTTAAAGTCCGAGGTGTTCAACCCGGTTTTTTTATTGCATTACCGCTAATGGCATGAAAACCGGTAAGAACCGGTTACCGATTTTGCCTCGCCTATAGAAATGGCAACAGCTTTGAAACATAACAATTTTACTTTGTTTTTACCGAGCAGGAAATCATGTTGACTTGATCATTGTGGTCAGACCGGGTTCTCAATGATTGACGCTGTCAGCTCCGTCAGCAATGGCTGCACACAAAAAAAGCAACCATCACATTAATTTGGGGGCGAGGGATGTTGAGCTAAGACAGTGGTTCTTAACCTGGGGTGCATCTCGCGAGATGCCCTCTCTAGGGGTGCGAGACGCCCTCTCTGGGGGTGCGAGATGCCCTCTCTGGGGGTGTGAGATGCCCTCTCTGGGGGTGTGAGATGCCCTTTATGGGGGTGCGAGATGCCCTTTCTGGGGGTTCGAGATGCCCTCTCTGGGGGTGTGAGATGCCCTCTCTGAGGGTGTGAGATGCCCTCTCTGGGGGTGTGAGATGCCCTCCCTGGGGGTGTGAGATGCCCTTTCTGGGGGTGTGAGATGCCCTTTCTGGGGGTGCGAGATGCCCTCTCTGGGGGTGTGAGATGCCCTTTCTGGGGGTGCGAGATGCCCTCTCTGGGGGTGTGAGATGCCCTTTCTGGGGGTGCGAGATGCCCTCTCTAGGGGTGCGAGATGCCCTCTCTGGGGGTGCGAGATGCCCTCTCTGGGGGTGTGAGATGCCCTTTCTGGGGGTGTGAGATTCCCTCTCTGGGGGTGTGAGATGCCCTCCCTGGGGGTGTGAGATGCCCTCCCTGGGGGTGTGAGATGCCCTCTCTGGGGGTGCGAGATGCCCTCTCTAGGGGTGCGAGATGCCCTCTCTGAGGATGCGAGACATGGCCAGGTTTTCTTCGAAGGTAAATAATCAAAAAGACAAATTAAGCAGGGGCACGTAATTACAACTACTTTGTTTCATCAAACTCGATGTGTTTATTCACATTGTACATTTTTTAACGATTGAGAAAAGTTAAGAACCAATGAGCTAAGATAATCAATTTAGTCAGTTCTCTGTTTTGCAAGGCGTGTTTGTGGATAGAGGGAGGTAGCTATATTGATGGCGTATGTCCACGGGCGCAGATATGTCATCATTCTAAAAGGGCCGTTCTATATGGCAATGTCTGGCATGTAAATAACTACATGGCGGTGTGAGCGGTACACGCTGGAATATTATCGCTAGAAACAAACCCCTTGATGTATCCTAATATATAAACACCCAGCTCTGTGATTCTGTCATTCTGTGACTAACGCGGCAAGGATTGTTTTGAAGTGCGTCACTTGACCGGGACCAAGCAGCCAACCAACGCTTGGCGGGGCTGTAGATGGGGCGAGTGAAAGTCCCCCAGCAAGGCCATCTACTTAACGACGAGAGGAAATTCACACGAAATGTCGTTTTCAATTAATTCTTCCACATGTAAAATGTTATAAGCTTTTAATGAAGAAATACAATTATCTAATTCAAAACATAATACAATTCAAAATATGTTTCATTTTTAAACTTCAAAACGGAGCATCGGGTGCTTGCGTGAATGTGTCGTTCGTGTGCAATCTTTTTCCTGACATTCCTGGCCGAAGGCCGTGAATGGTTGTGAGGGGGGGCCACAGGCGCCCCCGAACAACCCCTAGTTAAATAAGAATAGTAATAGGTCGAATTAAATTTGGGGGGTGGGGGGGCGGGGGGTGTACGGGGGGGAGAAGGGTGTCAAGGGTGGGGTGGTTGCGTTAGACATGGGGGGGGGGGTGGGGGTTGACCATACTTCACCACGCTGGTGAGTGCGAATTGGTATACAAGGTGGTTCCAGCAATCGGTACAGATGTCATCATCATCTGTGTTGCATTGTTGTTGTTTATGCACCACTGCCAAGGCAGCAGCAGCATCGCCAATTAGTGCCCGATTAGTGCGGCTGCCAGTATGTCGGATAAGCAAATTATTGTTGATAGGTAACGTTTTAGGGAATGGCCCTTATTCATTGCATGTAAAAAATATATAAAAAATGTTCTTTGAAGAAGGACTGTTTGCTCAAAACGTTGCCTTTTATATATTTTTTATTTCAGGCAGCACAGGCGACAGAAAGAGTATTTTCGCTTCCTTTCTAATGTTAGCACGCGAGGTCGCTTCTGTCACTGCGAGTATATTCGCGGCCGCAGAATCGGTGCTCGAGGATTGGGGGCTTATATTTGACCTGGCAACATCATCAGCCCATGACTTGAGCATGCGAGGTCACTTCTGTCACAGAAAAAGGGTGTGCCCCCTTGAAGTGCGTGTGTGAACGTGCGGCGCTTGCGTTGATATCTGGGATTTTAAGCAGATATATCTACGGGACCCCTGTTTGCCATGCGGTGTTAAGATCTTGCACGAAGCTCGTGGTCCCCCCGAAAGCGCATCACCACAGACCGTGGCTGCAGCAGATGCGGATACTCGATGCACAAATGGAAAATAAAAAATAATAAAACTCTCCAACAATTTTCAGTTTCATTTATTTGGCATAGCCCTGTGAGCCATTCGGCTCTTGAATCGGGTGCAACAGCAACAAAAAACATGAACAAGAAAGCATCTTAAAGTGACTATGTAGACATCGCAGCGGTAACACTCCACTGCTCATGATGCGGTTGTCTGACTTGTATGGATGTTTCGCACCTCCGATTAGCACAGTTGGCTAAGTACGGTGCTAATGAAGTTCAACAGTGCATACGGGTAAAAGTAATCCCCGACTCAGCTTGCGACCCGAAGCTATTTATTATTTCGACAAATAGCAAAAAACAATTGGACGCATTCGTTGTCACTGTCTTGAGAGGAAACATATGCAGTATAAAATAGAAACTTAAAAAAAAATATTTTAGCAGGTAAGGCCCGCTGAGCGACATAGCTCTTATTCAGAAGCGACCTGGCCACAAATGAAAGCTCAATGAAGTGGCTTTTCACGTGGAAACTTCCAGCAAGCAGCAGGCAAATATTCTAAACGCACGTCTCTAAATGGGAGAGAGACACGCAAACGCCAAATATACAGCATCAGGCGTCAGGGTCGGGATCGAATCCACGACCTCCTGCATACCAGGCGAGGTAGTCAACATCTCCTAGCCACCGCGACGTCTCTGTTAATTGTCTTTCAAGTAACACTGTATCCTTGTTAAGTAATAAGCAAATATATAATTGGCGACGTTTCGGGCAACTATCCTTCGCGCGTAACACTGTGGCCGCCCTAAAATCAAACGTCAAATAAGCGACGTTTCGGGCACTCACCCTTTTTCAAATGGAATTTTCTTTTTTAATGGGCCATTGCCCTAAACGTCGCCTATGTTATATATTGTTTTAATTTAAAAGGCCACGCACGCATTGCGTCATTGACGAATGCAGCAGTGCGAAATTATTCGGGTTTTTTTTAATTTCCACGTGGCCCTGAGGCTGCCTGCGTGAGACACCCCTCGCGTGACGTCACCACGGCTCTGACGTACACACACCAAATTCCCCACAACTGACGTGCATAGGCGTACGATTCCGCGCCTCCCCATTGGCTAAATCGAGCGCCGTCCCCACCAATCACACCTCCTGCCCACTACTGTCCCTCCCCATTGGCTGTCGTTTAAACTCACCCCGACGAATCGGCTTCGGGGACAGGAGACCTCGCCGCCTATCCGTAGTGGAATTTAAAATCTCGAGTCCGCGCCCATTCGCTTGAAGCCTCCCCCCCGCCCGCCTGCGTCGTTGTGTACAGTGTGGACTGTAATCAAAGTTAATATCCCACCACCACCACCACCACGTCCACCACCAACCACCCACCCCCTTTACAGTTCGTACAACTTCTGCTTCGTTCGTGAAGTGAGCCCAGAGATCTTCGCGGGCGAATCGTCTCCGCCCTGACAAATATCTCCTGGGCCTTTTTCTCGTGTTGCCAGCGCTGTGGTGGTAGTGGTGTGGGTGTCGTCCACCCCCCCACCACCAGTCGCTTGTTAACAGCGGCGGCAGTCGGCGACAGGCAGCAGGCAACAGGCGGCAGGCGACAGGCAGCAGGCGACGGCGGCTATGGGAGTCCTCGTCTCGCGCTTCAGAAGGGTGAGCCGGAGGCTGTTGCGTTCGGGCAACTTTCGGACGCGAATTGACGCTTTCAAGTTACAACCATCGGCGACGAAATAACGGCGACCGGGGGGGGAGGGGGGGGAGTGTTTTGCGATTGTGTGTGGGGGTGTGTGTGGGGGTGTTGTGTGTGTGGGAGTGTTGTGTGTGTGTGGGGGTGTTGTGTGTGTGGGGGTGTGTGTGGGAGTGTTGTGTGTGAGTGTTGTGTGTGTGGGGGTGTTGTGTGTGTGTGTGTGGGGGAGTGTTGTGTGTGTGGGGGAGTGTTGTGTGTGTGGGAGTGTTGTGTGTGTGTGTGGGGGAGTGTTGTGTGTGTGGGAGTGTTGTGTGTGTGTGTGGGGGAGTGTTGTGTGTGTGGGAGTGTTGTGTGTGTGGGGGTGTTGTGTGTGTGTGGGGGTGTTGTGTGTGTGGGGGTGTGTGTGGGAGTGTTGTGTGTGAGTGTTGTGTGTGTGGGGGTGTTGTGTGTGTGGGGAGTGTTGTGTGTGTGTTGTGTGTGTGTGTGGGGGTGTTGTGTGTGTGTGGGGGTGTTGTGTGTGTGTGGGGGTGTGTGTGGGGGTGTGTGTGGGAGTGTTGTGTGTGAGTGTTGTGTGTGTGGGGGTGTTGTGTGTGTGGGGAGTGTTGTGTGTGTGTGTGGGGGGGGGTGTTGTGTGTGGGGGTGTTGTGTATGGGGGGGGGGGGGGTGTTGTGTATGGGGGGGGGGGTGTTGTGTGGGGGGGGGTGTTGTGTGTGGGGGGGGGGGGTGTGTGGGGGGTGTTGTGTGTGTGTGTGGGGGTGTTGTGTGTGTGTGTGTGTGGGGGGTGTGTGTGTGGGGGGTGTGTGTGTGGGGGTATTGTGTGTGTGGGGGTATTGTGTGTGTGGGGGGTGTTGTGTGTGTGTGGGGGGTGTTGTGTGTGTGTGGGGGGTGTTGTGTGTGTGTGGGGGGTGTTGTGTGTGTGTGGGGGGTGTTGTGTGTGTGTGGGGGGTGTTGTGTGTGTGTGGGGGGTGTTGTGTGTGTGTGGGGGGTGTTGTGTGTGTGTGGGGGGTGTTGTGTGTGTGTGGGGGGTGTTGTGTGTGTGTGGGGGGTGTTGTGCGTGTGTGGGGGGTGTTGTGTGTGTGTGGGGGGGTATTGTGTGTGTGGGGGGGTATTGTGTGTGTGGGGGGGTATTGTGTGTGTGGGGGGGTATTGTGTGTGTGGGGGGGTATTGTGTGTGTGTGGGGGGTGTGTGTGTGGGGGGTGTGTGTGTGGGGGTATTGTGTGTGTGTGGGGGGTGTTGTGTGTGTGTAGGGGGTGTTGTGTGTGTGTAGGGGGTGTTGTGCGTGTGTGGGGGGTGTTGTGTGTGTGTGTGGGGGGTGTTGGTGTGTGGGGGGGGGGTATTGTGTGTGGGGGGGGGGTGTTGTGTGTGTGTGTGTGGGGAGGGTGTTGTGTGTGTGTGGGGGGGGCTGTTGGGTGTCTGTGGTGGTCCCCCTCTTTAAGAAGGGTGGACCGCACAGACTGTAACAACTACAGGGGCATCTCACTCCTCAGTGTGCCTGGAAAGGTCCTGGCAAGGATTATTCAACATCGCCTTGCCAGGCACGCTGAGGAGAGGCTTGCGGAGCCCCAATGCGGTTTCAGGAAAGGGCGGTCCTGCACAGATGCCATATTTTCTGTCCGTCTGCTACAGCAGAGGTGTAGGGAATTCCAGCAAGACCTACATCTCTGCTTTATTGACCTGGTCAAGGCCTATGATACCATCACTAGACCTGGGCTCTGGGTTGTTCTTCGTGTTTTTGGAGTCCCTAACTCTCTGCTCACGATCATTAAGGACCTTCATGATGGCGAGCGGGCCCGGGTGGCTGGGAGTCAGAGCCATTCCCTGTTCACCTTGGGGTGCGACAGGGATGTCCTCTGGCTCCCACATTATTTAACATCTATTTTGACCACGTAGTTCGTGAAGCCTTCAATAGCTGTACCGGGGGAATCTCCATTTGGTACAGATATAATGGGAGGCTGATCGATGCCCGGGTGCGGTCAAGGGATGGCTCCCTATTGCTCAACCACGTTATGTATGCCGATGATTTGGTAATAGCTGCTCATTCAGAGGAGGAGTTGGAGATGCTGCTGCTGAGACTGGAGCGTGCCACTAAGAGATGGGGCCTTACCATCAGCCCCACCAAAACTAAGCACCTGCCTGGGTATTTTGTACCATCGGACACTCCACCCCCACAACTCCCAATCGGTGATGGGGCAGTTGTGGAGAGAGTGGAGAGTTTCCCATACCTGGGCAGTGTGCTTATGACCGGCTCCAGTTTAACAGCAGAGGTCTCACTCCGAATCAGTCGAGCGGCAATATCTTTTCATCGGTTGTGTAACGCTGTGTGGAAGCTACCTGGTCTGTCGCTCCGTACTAAGCTTCAGGTATTCTCGGCCACGGTCATTCCCTCCTCTATGCTTGCGAAACGTGGACCCCCTTAATGGAACATATTCGCCGGTTAGAAACATTTAGGCTAGCCTGCCTACGATCCATCCTGGGTTTAACCAGGCTGGATTGTGTGAGGAGCTCACAAATCCTTGAAAGATCTGGGCAAGGTCCCATCGATGAGCTTCTCCGGCAGGCAAGGCTGCGTTAGCTGAGTCATGTAGCCCGCATGCCCAGCCACCGCATGCCGAAACAGCTTTTGTTCGGCCGGATCGAGGGGGCTAAACGGGCGCGGCATGGGCTAGAGAAGAGATGGAGTAATGTGGTACAGGAGGACGTGGAGCTGAGTGGACTTGCCGATGACTGGTACCAGCGGTGTCAAGATCGGCCTCTGTGGAGGAGGCTCGTGAAGGACGCTACTGGGCAGTTGGAGGCAATCGCCCTCCAACAACAACGGAGGGCGGAGGAGCGACGCTCACAACAACGAATGGAGCGCCAGGTGGCTAAAGCACAGCAGGTTGGCACAGTAGGGGGCACAGGTGGTGCATCAGCCAGTCATCTCAGTCAGTCGACCCGTGGCACCTGGGTCTGCCCCGTGACCTGCCATAGGGCGTTCGACACTTCACGTGGCCTCAAGGTGCACATGGCCTGGCACAAGCGCCGTGGTGACGTCACCACCACTTAGTGGCGAATGGCGGTTGTTGTGTCTGTGAGTGTGTGTTTGTGTGTCTGTCAGTGTGGTAGTGTAGCGGTTAGCGCGCCGCGCTATGAAACCGGCAACCCGGGTTCGATTCCCGCTCACGGCCAACACCGGTGACGATTATCTGAACCGGTCCTGGGCCTCCCCTAGGTCGACTCAGACTCATATGAGTACCTGGTGCAGTGTGTAAACATCGCCACTAGGGAGACAAAGGCGGTCGGGCGTGGCGCTGGCTACCCACCCCCTCGTGTACCGTTCTGGCCTTCATAGGTGCTCGCTAACAGCACGTGTCCCTACAGTCTGTTAAGGCTACACGGGGATCTTTGTTTTTTGTGTCGACTCAGCCTCAAATGAATACGCTACCCCGGTGTGGTGTGTAGTAGACAATGCCACTGGGGAGACAAAGGCGGTCGGGCATGGTGCTGGCCACCCCACCCCATCGGCCTTTATAGGTGCTGCTACTCGCTAACAGCACTGGTCTCAACAGTCTGTTAAGGCTACACGGGGGATCTTTGTCTTTGCATCGAGGATGCAAGCGCTTTCCAGTCAAAAATGTGGTTTGAGTTTAACCCACTTGTCCACAAAGTGGTACCTTGTTTTACCGCCCAGAGGTGATTGTAATGGTGGTGATGGTTATTGTGATGTTGGTGGTGGTGGGAAATTACGATGCTGCTGGTGATGTGTGATGATGTTTAGGTAGTGATGGCACCGTGGTGGAAATAGCAACGATAGAAACTGGTGATGTTTGGCAAGATTGTGATGGTAATAATTTCTGCTGGTGATAGTGATGGTGGTGATTATGTTGGTGATGGTGGTAATGACGGTGAAAATTGCACCTAGCCTGGCACAAGCGCCGTGGTGACGTTAATGCCACTAAGTGGCGAAAGGCGGTTGTTGTTGGTACAGTATTGATGTTATCTGAATGGTGGTGATGGTGGAGTTGATAATTATGCTGCTACGTATGGTAATTATGTATGGTGGTGATGTTTGCTCATGGTGGTTATGGTAATATGTATGGTAAATGGCATAGAGATGTTGATGTGATGATGCCAACTAAACAAACGTGCACAATGAAGGGTGCGTAAGAGCGCGGGTCGTCTGCAGCCTGAATAATCACTTAAAACTTAAACCGACTCAAAGATTAGACTATAAACTATACTATTAGACTATTTTTTTCTATTTTACCTTTTAAGTCCCCCACTGAGCTACATAGCTCTTTTTCAGAAGCGACGTGACCACAAATGACTGCCCACCGAAGTGGCTTATCCATGTGGACATGTATAGCAGCCAAATACTCGAAACGCGTGATGTTGTTTCTAAATGTGGAGGGGAATACCCGGAGAAAAATCTGCACGACCACGGGCAGAGAGAGAGAGAGAGAGACACGCAAACTCCAAATATACAACAGGCGTCAAGGGTCGGGATCCAACCCACGATCTCCTTGTATATACCGGGCGAGATAGTTAACAAAACACGAAACACGCCGGCTCCCAATCTCTCAACAACTGGCCCCTGCGACACACATCAACCAGACGGATCGTTGCCGGTTCCAGACAACCCCCGTTATACCGCGTGGCCTCTTGTAACGCAGTTGTAGGGCTTTGTGGCGTTTCACACCCGCGGTGTAGCGAGCGTGGCACGCTTCCGCTTTGCCAGCGCGGACCCCACATGAGCTGGACACGTTTACGATGTGCTCGGGCGTCGGGACATCGGGGACAATTTGGCGATCGCTTTGCCCTCGGGGAAAGGCAGATTAGGGCAGAGCCTAGCGTCGGTGGCAAGAGCGCACAACTGACCCTGGCGGCGTTTTGAACGCCTTCCAGCAAGCACGCGGAGTCACGTTTTTAGACGAGCAGGCGGCAGGTGGTTGAGGATTTATAAATGAAAGAAGTGGGGGGGGGGGGGAGTGTGTGCTGAGTTTGGGTTGGGTGGGTCAGTGGGTTGGTAGATAGTGGATGGGTGGGTGAAGGGAGTGAGTGGGGTTAGTAGGTGGATGAGTGGGGTGGTGAATTGCTTCGTGGATGAGCGGGTGGATGTGTTGGTGAGTGGGTGGGTGGGTGTTGTTGGCACAGTAGGGGGGCACAGGTGGTGCATTGGCCAATCATCTGTCAGTCAGTCAACCCATGGCACCTGGGGTCTGTCGCGTGACCTGCCAACGGGCGTTCGACACTTCGCGTGTCCTTAACATGCACGTAGCCTGGCACAAGCGCCGTGGTGACGTCACCGCCACTTAGTGGTAAATGGCGGTTGTTGTTGGTGAGTGGGTCGGGGGTGTGGGTGGGTGAGTGGTTGGGTTAGTGAGTTTGTGGGTGTGGAGCAGGCAAGGGGATTTGCAGGAAATTAGTTATTGTTGTCAGGAGGTGGGGGCGGGGGGGGGGGCATTTGGAAAAGGGAGCAGTGGAAGATTTGGTAAGTACAGGGGCACGTGTGAGGAGGGTAGGGCAAGAGTGGAAAACTTCCGGCTCCTAGGCCAAATACGGCCCTCGACTTCATTCCGTACGGCCCGTGGCAATGAAAGGCCCAATCACTTTAAATTGGCCCTCAATTGATATTTACCAATCGCTGCAAGCATTTTTAGCCACGCTGATCGGGTACGAGAAGGCAATATTTTGGACCTGGCAACAACACCAATTTTAGCGCGCTCGGTCACTTCTGTCATTACGGCAAAGGCGGGCGCCGAAGCAGTTTTAATTATTGGATTTCGCCGAAGGTCGTGTTGATGTTTGGCCTGCCACGGTTATGCGAGAGTTCCCTTGAGCCCTTGGGAAGGTTTGGAAAGACGACACAAGAAAGTATTATGAGGAGGATGAGCCTTGAGTGATAAGGTCAATGAATGCATATTATTTATTGATGCTTGCCATGGCTGTGAAGGAGCACGGTGGCTCAATGGTTACTATTCTTTTGACTATTCCTGTCTTGCCAGGTAAGGCCTACTGAGCTACTTAGCTCTTTTTCAGAAGCGACCTGGCCGCAGTTGACAGCTCAACGAAGTGGCTGATCACGTGGACATTTATAGCAGCCAAATACTCCAAACGCGACGTTGTTTATAAATGTGGAGGGAAAAACCAGAGGATCTGGAGAAAAATCCACGCGACCACTGGGAGAACATGCAAACTCCAAATATACAGGCGTCAGGGTCGGGATCGAACCCATGATCTCCTGTATGCCAAGCGAGGAAGTTAAACATCCTGCCACAGTGCCATTGAAACTAGTGATCTAGGTTTCATTCGGTCACGGCTATAACACCATTGGCGAGTGATATCCAAACCTGGGTCCAGCCCCCACCTCGGATCCTGGGTGATATCTATGGTGTACCTTTCTAATCCGAGTTCGTTCTTGTCAATGTCAAAATTCCTTCACGTTCTCCCGGTTAATCCCACAATCTCTCTGCTTTGCTGTAATGCAACAAATGCACTTGCCAGCAAACCTGCTCTTAGCCTTGGGGCTGATGTGCCGATCAGGTTTTGCATAGCTGCTGTTTTTGCGGTTGACATTTTGGGCCTTTTGCGATATCTGTGGATTGTAAAGTACTTTAAATTAACGTAAAGAAGGATGATTAAATACTCTATCTGGTATAACAATGATTTCGGGCACAAAGTTATTTAGGCGTCATATATCACCAGTGAAAGTTTGTAGAAGTCTGGCATAGAATATATAAATTGTAAAACACTTGAATTGATATGAACACAGTACATTAAAACTTATCTTGTTGTTTCAGGCCAAGCCTTCTACCATACAACAGTTAGAAACACTGGAAAAGGTAAGCCGGTTCATTGAACTTACCACAAACTATCTTCATCATCATCTTCTTCATTTCCTATCCATGGCATCACCATCCCCACCATGGTCCTATGATGCCACAATCCATATCGCTCCTGCACATTAACTCATCTCATCGCTCCATCTCTGTGGAGATCACCGTATTGGTTGTGTTATCTCCCTTAGTTGCTGCTCCCATCACCAGCCTTACACCCACACATCATCTCGGCATGTGCTACCAATGCCCATTTATCTTTTATGAAGTCATTGTGATGATGTCCTGATCCACGGTCTCTTATTGCTGTGATTCCAAGCGTACTAAACTAAACGAAGGATTTTATTTACCGGGTAAAGCCCAACTGAGCGATTAGCTCTTTTACAGAGGTGACCTGGCCACACGTGATAGCTCATCGAAGTTTGCTTGTATCATCACATGTTGGAATTTATAGCAGCAGCCAAATAATATGAACGAAATTTTCTAAAAGTGGAGGACATAACCGGAGGACCTGGAGAAAAATCCACGCTAACACAGGGAGAGAGAACACGCGGACTCCAAATATACAGGTATCTCCATGGTCGGGATCGAACCCATGACTTCTTGCTTAGCAGGCGAGGGAGATAATATCTCGCCACTGCGGCGCCCGAAGATCTTTTTGCTTCTATGCACACGTTTGTGGTTATGTTCCATTTTATCTGTCAATGTAATTATTTCTGAGCCATATACCTATAGCAGGTAAAACATATACACTGATGAAAACGTCATTCTTTTGGGAACATCAGTTGTTTCCTTTGTCAATGTCCGCGCGTCTGGCACACAGCTATGATGTACGGATCAGACCAAATCAGAATCCACGTGACCACGCTGAGATTATTGGGCGGTTGCACAGCCTCTCGGCTCAACTGGCACGAATCCACGTTGCAAGTCATTGCCTGTTTGGATTCCCACCCTCTGCTCATTCATGCTGTGACACAGCGTGGCATTCTGCTGTAAAGCATACACTTAATTAGACTCTGTAGTATCTTTTACGAGGTTCAGATTGTTCATTGCGGCATTACGTCCCGAGCTACCAAACATGAAGGCAGTTAGTTGGCATTAACTAAGTTACATGAAGTAATAACAAGAAATAATATATTTAACGGGATCGCTGCTGTGTGGGGCGTATTGGTTTTCACACCGCACTTGCAATGCAGAGGTCGCCGGCTTGATTCCATATCCCGAGGTGGGGGGGCAACATTTTTACATCCCCCCCCCCCTCCGCCTCTGTCCATCCAGTTGTAGAAATGTGTGCCCAGAAGTGAACCCTTTCTCGTTTCGATGACGTACGTTTACATCAACGAAAAACTAAACTGGAAGAAAAACTAAAATAAAATAACCTTATCGGTACCGAAAGGCTCCCACAAGAACATGCGGGAGGGCCTGTCGCACATTTTTGGCCTTGGCAATCTTGGAGTGCGGTCGTGTCCCTACGGTTCTCTGCCTATTCTAGATTTGAAGCTTTCGTGACTGCAAGGATCCATGCTCTTTGGTTCTGTTCGGTAAAGTCACATAAAAAAATCAGATTTGAAACACGGCAGAACGAATTCTTCTGCCGTAGCTGATCACTGTTACAACGCTGTGGGTGATCACGATATAGTTTTCTCCGATACCAAGGTTCTCTGCAAACCCACGGGTTATTCTTCTTTGGGTTATTATCAGAGATTTATTATCAGAGATTTGTCCACGAGGCAATTCAGATTTATAAACACAGACACAATTTCAACCGAGAGGATGGTTACAAATTAAGCAATCATTGGAAAGATGTTCTAAATCAAACCAAACATTAAACTAATTTTCAATGGTACAGTATATTTTTTAAAGTGGTGATATCCCAAACTTTCACAGCTGCTTATTTCCCTTCACACCAACATTATGTAAACTCCCCTCCCCCCGTGCCTGGTCCATCATGGTCCCCCCCGCGCCTGGTCCATCATGTTCCCCCCCGCGCCTGGTCCATCATGGTCCACCATGTACCTCCTACGTAGATCATGCTCATTTTTATGCTAATTCCTTTGTCAAGGCGTCTTTGTTTCCTCCCACACAGCTTAAAGGACGCGACCTGGGCTTGGCTGATTTCATTCCAACGCTGTCCTCTGGACAGTCCCCTCCCTTCACCTGATGAAGGCCACTTGTGTTGTGGCCGAAACGTCGTGATTTTTATTTTTATTGTTTTTTTTACCTACGTGACTTTACCGAATAGAACCAAAGAGTATGGTTCTCTGCCTCTCTAAATAAATTTAACGCTGAGTCGCTCGCGCGTTCCGAGATTGAGAGGTGAACGGGACACCCAACCTGCAACTTGCAGACATCTCGCAACGGGAAAGCGTTGATAAACTTTCGGATAAAGGCTCATCCGCACTGTGTCGGTTACGAGGTGTTGCTTGACCATACTTCACCACGCTGGCCAGTACAGGTTTGTGAAAGGACGTTCCAGCACCGGTTCGAATATCACTCACCACTGACATCACCCGTGGCCTGGAATAAAACTCAGATCACCGAGCTCATCAGACAATGCAATAACCTCCGCACCACTATTCCCACTGTGGTTAAAATACGACCAAATGTTAATAATACACTGAGAGCCTATGAAACTACACTTTTATTCCTAACTGCTAATGACATTATAGCTGAAATTCACAAGCCTATCTTCTCCCGGTAGGATTTTAATAAACATTTATATTTCATTCCAATACTATTATGTTCTTATCCCTAGATTAAGTTCTATGTTTGGAGGGGGGGCATAGCCGATGCAATCACACGTCAAATAATGCATCATTATCAGCCATGATCACTCTACTGCTGGATGAAGGCTTCCCCAAGCCTCCGCCGCCAGCTGTAACGATCCATGCAGCAACCAATTTCGTCGCTCCATCTCCGCATTGTGCACCGCCTTTAGACGCCTTCAATAATTTTTTGCAGACTCTCCTTTTTTTTGTACATAGGTGTGTCGAACTTCTTTTCGAAACCGTACGTAGCCAAAAAAAACAATTGTTTTAGTTTCATATCAACACCAAGGTGCTGCGACCGATCGCTATGAAAGCCTGCTCAACCGTCACGCTTTGCTGTGAATAACGCGGGACGAATAAGTCGACGGGTCGCGTAACCCACTGCGCACATCGGGGAAAGGAGGCGGGGTCGGCCTTTGGCTCAAAAAACGCGGCGGTGCGCTTGCCCCCCCGTTTTGTGTTTTTTTTTGTCACGCGCTTTGCGCTCAGGACATGACCGACTTGGAGGAGCGCAGCGAGAGGACGCAGCGCCTCCAGCGCCTGTGGATCGGCCGTCTCATCTTGTACTCGTCGGCCGCCTACATCGTGGCGGCCGCCTTCCTCTGGTTTTGGAGTTTCCCCAAGGAGTGGACGGACTGGGTCTTCGCGGCACTGCCCTTGCTCCTATTTCCCGTCCTGTGAGTGTCACGTGCCGTGGTCGAGATGTTAACTACTCGCTTGCCAATTATGTTAGCCGTGACCGGGACCGAAACGCAGGTCACCGGTTTCCATGGCACGGTGGCGGGATGTTAGCTACCTCGCCTGGTGTACGGGAGGTCTTGGGTTCGATCCCGACTCTGACACCTGCTGCTGTACATTTGGAGTTTGCGTGTCTCTTCCCCCCGTGGTCACGTGGATCTGTCTACGGGTCCTCCGGTTTTTACCCTCCACTTTTAGAATCGACATTAGCGCGTTCAGAGTATTTGGCTTGCTTCTGGAAAGGAGCTATATGGCTCAGTGGGCTTTATCTGGTTAAAATAAAAATTGTTGTAGTTTCATAGTTTTATTAATCAATGCAAAAAATAATAATAAACCCCCCCCCCCCACCAAGAAAGTGAATGATTTCCTGCTTCACGATAACGTGATTTAATCACGAAAAATACGACCCCAGATTCGAACCCAGCACCTCGGCGGAACCGGCTCGGCGCTGGCTCGCAGCTTCTGGAGCGTCCATCTTGCATTCCGCATGACGTTGCACACGTCAGCTTCGTCATCATCGGCATCATCGGCAGTCGTGGTCAATCCACTGCTGGAGGAAGGCCTCTGCAAGCCATCGCCGCTGCATCACCTCTCGCTTTGCTGCGATGTACCTATCCGCCGAGCCAGGTTCATAAACAAAACTAAACTTTTTTTTATTTTACCAGGTAAGGCCCACTGAGCTATAGAGCTATTTTTTCAGAAGTGACCTGGCCACAGATAATAGTCAACGGAGTGGCTCATCATCACGTGGAAATTTATTGCAGGTGCCAAATACTCAAAATGCGTGTTGATTTAAAAATGTGGAGGGAAAAAGCGGAGGACCCGGAGAAAAATGCACACGACCACGGGGAGAGACGCACAAACTCCAAATATACAGCAGGCGTCAGGGTTTGGATCAAACCCACAAACTCCTATATACCAGGCGAGGTAGTTTACATTTCGCCACCGTTAAAATAATAGCGCAGGGCCACGGGCATTTCTTCGTCGTACTTTTGTAAAAAAAAATCTAAATATAAGTTACTTGACAAACGTGCCTTTTAAACGTTTGTCCCGTGGAACCGAGTTTCAAATCGCTGAACCTGAAAGCACAGCCTAAGAGTGAGTGGCCTTGTGCACTCGGGGCTTTAGATGTAATCTCAGGTATTTGCTTTTACGAGGGGTGATGTAAAGGTCTGTAGCCTGACACAGAAGGAGCGTAGGGGGGCGTCGCAGAGAAGAGTTGAACTTTCAGCCAGAAGTGCATTACACTCGAGATAAGCGAAACGTCTTGGCTTCTGATTGATTCTGACACGTTTACAGGCATTTTGAGGCCTTCTCGTTCGAGTGCTGAGTGAAGAAATGGAGACATCTGAGAAGTGTAGCGAAATCTGGAGAGAGAAAAAATAATAATTGATGTATTAAAAAAAAAACTAAATAATTCGTGGAGGCTATCAAAATATTTGGCGTCTAAGTAATGCGCGGATTCATCAGTTGAAGTCGATTCCTCCGCTCAATATACAATAATATTGCGTGTAAAAAGATATCATGTGATTAATACAAATTGTATGCAAATGGTACGCTTGTATGCTAGCAGTGTACGTTTATGTAAAACATAAACAAAGAGAAATAATAACAAATAAGGTGCTAAATAATAACAGGCCTGGCTCCCAGTGCCCTCTGAGTGAGTCCACGGTTAACGAACCGCTCGCGCGTTCCTCCGCCGGCGATAAAGTGAGACGCGCGTGGTTTGAGGGGAGGGGTGAGGACCGAGAGTTCCTCTGTTGGCGGTGATTTAGGCCTTGGGGCATCCACGGAGATGATTGATGACGACGACGATGGAGCAAAGTGCGTTCCACATCAACCACCGGAATTCGATTTTCAGCCACGGCTAACATCAATGGCGAGCGATATTTGAACTGGTCCTGCCCCCTCCCCGTACCACTTTACCAACAACCGGCACTTACCAGCGTGAAGTACGGACAAACAACCCCCATGACCGAGATGGCGTGAGAAGGCCTTCATCCATTGGTGGATTGACATAAGGGCACCGTAACACGATTGCATTAATTGTATTGACTATAGAGCTGCGTGGTCTGAGAGTCGATGGATAGTTTCATGCTCGCCTCTACAGTGTACTTGCATGGTGACCAACACGGTGTGATGGGAGGCCTGCGTTAAGATTGTCAAGAGCCAGTACACGTATATTTAATGTGTTCACCGTGGGTTTTTTTACGTTAATCATTTGCTGTCGTAAACATTTCCCTTTGATGTTATTTCCTCTGGCTCTGTTACAACGCTTCCGGTAGAAATTATGGCAATTAACTTTTTTTACCGTCCAACTGTCGTACTTTGCCGTCTGTCACGGATCGTAATTAGTCCTTTTATTTGACAGGCATCGCCAGTGTAATGGATGTATCATTAGTAAATAATTATCTTGTTTTCCCATTGATAACGACATGCGCCCAATGGTAATCGTCTCTTATAATATTTTAATCTAATACATAAAGACCGTTGCGACTGATTCCACTGATTGATGTGAATTTTAACGGTGTTCTAGAAGAGCTGTAAAGCTGGAGTTTGTGCAAAATTATAGTCAAGTTGATGCTTATGGCGACAACAAAAACGATTGGAATGTTGGGTCCACAAAAAAGGAGGGCACGGAGGTCGCCGATTGGTTTCACTCAGGGGGCAGCCTCAGCCTGGAGCTCCCCATCGCTGCTCCGAGTCTCGCGCTCAACACTCGCATGGATACGAGCCCCGTCGTCATCATTATCATCAGCAGCCGTAGTGATGGACCGAGTAAATCGCCCCCCCGCAGAGCGTGACGCAAAAGCCGCTAGAAAGCGGCGGGCAGCATGCTACCATTTACGAGTATAGATTATATACTGTGCTGGTTTATAATATATTAATGATAGTGATGATGGTGTCGTTTGGAGGATTATCAACCTTTTTATCATATAATTGTTTATAAATGTTGATCGTAATTTGCAGACCTTTGTCAATCAACCGTTGGATGTAGGTCTTCCTGCTCATTGTCTCTCAAGGGGGTTGTTTGGCCATGCTTCACCGTGTTCATCGGTATGGTTCAGGGGGGGCAAAGGTAGGCCAATACCGGTCCAGATATCACTCGCCACTTGTTAATCCGTATGGCTGATGTAGACGCAGAGCAACAACTACAATGTAACATTCAGGTTGGTCAAGCCAGACAACCGCATCAGGAGCAGTGGAGTGTTATCGCTGCGATGTCTACCTTCGTATTTGTGGACCAGGGCATAGCGTCGTTATAAGTCGTTTCGGCCTATTCTGGATGACCCACAGTCGCACACTGCTGGAGAGTTTTTAATTTTCCATAATCGAGGTTTTCCTTGGGTTAGATCGCATAAATATATAGATGTGTCGTTAAAACCCGCCACCACCCGACACAGCCAACTAGTAAGGGTTGTCACGTAAACAGAACGTGCCAATTCATCACTAGTACAGCACACCGATGTGTTGGGGAGCCAAACCACAACATTTACAATCTGAGTACGACTTTTCGCCAATCTGAGGACGACGTTTCGCCGGTAATTACAACTAGCTTCATCAAACTCCGGCTTGGCTCTCCATCACATCGGTGTGCTGTACTGGTGATGAATTGGCATGTTGTTCTGTTTACGTAACAACCCTTCCTAGTCGGCTGCGTTCGGGCGGTGGCGGGTTTTAACGACACATATATTTACGCTATCTAACTCAAAACAACCTCTATTATGGGTGATGTTGGTCGCGAAAAGCCGACGTTTTGATTTTCCATTCGTGCATCGGGTTATCCGCACCTGCAGCAATGTTTTGTGCAGTGGATGCGGTTTCGGGTGGACCATGAACTGACGTTGGCCGTCTATTCATCGAACCGCACTGCGTAGGTTTTTTTTTCTCGTTTTTTTTCGCCGGATCACGTCTCTCCGATTGCGTCTCCGCGTCGCGCTGCGCACGCCGTTCGGCACGATGTCCGACGCTCCGCTCTACGTGCCGAACGACACGTGGCGCGTTCCGGAAGGGCGTCGGAGAGCGCCGTACATCGGACGTCCGTGGGTAGCGATGGCGATTCCCTTGCGCGCTTCCCGCCTGTACCATGCGCGTGCCTCGTTCTCTTGCAGAGTGTGGCTGCTCAAGAGGTTCATGAGCTGGTGGTTCGTGAGAAGGACGCAGAGCAACTGTGAGTGTGCAGCTTAACCGCGGTTTTCACTCAGTTAAGTTCGGTGGGCTGGTGGCGTTAAGTGTGGGTACAATATGTCTGGCCAATATGTCTGGCCAGCGTAGAAGGCTAGGTCATGTATGTATCTTGAACTTCTTTTGCACCTTATTCTTAGTTCTTTCGGTAAAGTCACGTTGAAGGGAAACAATAAAATCATAAAATATATATAAAACAATAAAAATTCTCACGACGTTTCGACCATGACACAAACGGTCGTCGTGAGAATTTTTTTTATTGTTTTATATATATTTTATTATTTTATTGTTTCCCTTCAATGTGACTTTACCGAAAGAACTAAGAATATGAATTACTGCAGTCACGAAAGCTTTAAATCAAAATTCTTTTGCACCGTACTTAGCCAACCACGCTAATCGGGAAGTGCGGGGGAAGGACTGTAAGCTAAACTCAGATAGCCCTCCAGCGGGGCTATCGAGTCATTGAAGGCCCTTCAATCAGCAGTGGCATGAGCAAGAAATTGCAGGGTTGTGCCTTTCCCTACAGTATAATTCCCCACACTTGTCAGGTGGAGATATTTCGGTGGTTTGTAAATTCTTCATTAGGTTGCATCGTCAGCATGGGGTTTTTATCAATGTATTACTTTGCTTTGTTAACAGCCTTTCTCAATGCCTGTTGCAGTTGGTATGCTACTTATGATCCATCTCTATCCAATGGTTCTGTACTGTGTTGAAGTTCAAAGCTCCGATGCTCGCTCAATGGACAGGCTTCTAAGTTAAGTCGTTAATATGGCACTGCAAGCCACCACGAGATCTTTTGTGTGTTGAGATTCAAACTAAAATGATGATGGTAGTGACTTTGATTTTAAATAGTTGTGTCCGTCAACCATAAAGGTGTCTTAATATAGTCATGCAGTGATAACTCATGTCCACATTCATGTTTGCTTATGAGTTATAAATGAGACCACTATGATAGAAATGCAATGGTGATAATAATAATATCTGCCCGACATTGTAACGGTCACCAAGAACAATAGTTTTATAAAATAGCTTACCATGGATTCTAAGCTTCATGTGGACTACAAGCTGAGAAAGCCCGTCATGTTACGTGAGCTCCGGAGCATTGCACTTCCCAACGGAGTGTGGAAGTGCAAAATAAAAATGTTTGCTTCGTGATGGATTTGAAGTGCCCATCGTCCGCTTCGCCAACCATGCTCTGTCTCCTTTCACAGACGCCGCTCTCGAAGGGCTCAAGGAGAAAAAGCGGAAAATCGTGAGTGTGCGCCGCCATTGCGATTTACGGCTTTGGGAATGGGAGAGGGATGATGCGTCGTATTGATACGGACTAATGGAAGGGCATTACAAACGGACCCGCGGTTCGACTGTAAATCACCAGCGCAGGGTACCGAAGGCACGGCCAATGCGAATTGTTTCTGTACATCGCGGGCGGGGGAGGCAGGCGGGAGGGGGGGGGGTGCTTTTCCTTAACCACGGCCAGAGTAGGATGCTTAATAACATTTGGCAGGCAACAAAGACAAAGATCCCACGTGTATAGCCTTAACCGACTTTTGGGGCAAGTACTATTTGCGAGCACCGATGAAGGCCGGCGCACGGCACACGAGGTGGGTGAGTGGCCAACCCCACGCCCGACCGCCTTTGTCTCTCCGGTGACAATGTTTACACGCCGCACAAAGTACGCATTTGAGGCTGAATCGACCTCGGGGAGGCCCACGACCAGTTGAGAAAATCGTCACTGTTTGTGGCCGTGAGCAGGAATCAAACTCGGGTCGCCCACCGGGTTGGTAGCGCTGCGCCGCTGACCGCTGCTCCCACCACTCCATGCGCCCTCGCATGCCCCACTCACTCTCTCCTCATCGTCGCGCTCCCTTTCCACGAATCGCTGTATCTTCGCTCTTGCATCAACCGCGGGAATCGAACGGAGATCGCCGTGGTCCGCAACGGGTGCGCTAACCAAGGCGCCACCGCTCCCGGCTGAACCCATATTAGAGGTTTTTTGGGTTGGATCACGTAAATATAAATGTGTCGTTAAACCCGCCACCACCCGACACAGCCAATTAGTAAGGTTTGTCACCTAAACAAAACATGACAATTAGTCGAACTCGTAACTAATTGGCATATTTTATATTTATGCGATCTAACCCAAAAAAAACTATTATAGATAATATTGGTCGAGCAGGCTCAATACGCACCTGGCGGGTTAAAGTTTTTTTGCAGCAGCAGCAGCGAATTCAAATTTGACTGGGTAAATTTTTTTTTTCCCCCTTCAATGTTTTGACCAACTCTAATATAGCAGTGGCTTCACTGGACGGGATGTCGCGGGCGGCTCAAACGCCGGTTGGTGGTGCTGATCCCCTCCCTCCCTCCCTCCCTCCCTCCCTCCCTCCCTCCCTCCCTCCCTCCCTCCCTCCCTCCCTCCCTCCCTCCCTCCCTCCCTCCCTCCCTCCCTCCCTCCCTCCCTCCCTCCCTCCCTCCCTCCCTCCCTCCCTCCGCGCAGCTCGAGGAGGTGATGGAGAAGGAGACCTACAAGACGGCGAAGGAAATCCTCGAGAGATTCGATTCGGAGGCGAAGAAGGCAAAGGTTTCTCAAACCTTTGCCGTTACGCGGCGCACATTCCCATGGCTGTGCCCGTAAAAGTGGGGCCCTCGTTTAAAGCAAAATACTATATTCCCGTTAAACATATTGTATATATTGCGAAGCCCACAAACAGCACCTATGTGGCGGCGCAATCCACGACTCCGAAGCAGGTTGCGGTTAGGGGCTCACGCCACGCTTATTAGGGGCTTACGCCAAAGTGTGTTCGGGGCTTACGACAACCCACGCCCCTAGCCGATAACTCCCCAGGGGACAGGGGTACCAGGATCCCTACAACCCCGGCTAACTCCCCAGGGGACAGGGGTACCAGGATCCCTACAACCCCGGCTAACTCCCCAGGGGACAGGGGTACCAGGATCCCTACAACCCCGGCTAACTCCCCAGGGGACAGGGGTACCAGGATCCCTACAACCCCCTACTAACTCGGCTCTCCTCCCTGCCCCGGGCCGGGACTACCCCAACCTCGGCCGGTCGGGCGGAGTAGCCACCCCTAGCCTCGGGTGAGGATCAGCTCCCCTGAGTCCCCACTCCTACCCCCGACGACCCCCCGTTACATCCCCGGGTCCCCCTTTAAATACCCCTCTGGGGCATGACGTCACCGTCCCCCCGGGGTCCGCCTGACGTCACGTTCTGCGACGCCACTCTCTCCGAGGGCGAGCGTGACGTGACGTCACCCACTACACTCCCCTACACCTATGCTAAGCCAATTGTAAGCAGCGTTCAAATGCTACGTTCTGTAACAAAAAAAAAATTGCTCTTTAAAAATGAAAAGACTATACTCCCGTTAATATATATGTGATTTAAGCAAACAGCGCCAATGCTAAGCCAATTGTGGGCAGTGTTCTTCAGATGCCATGTGCGTTATAGCAGGGCCCCATGTTCTATTTGTTTTACTGCATCCCCGTCGCATTAGGAATCGGTAATAACTCGTGACCTGGATGTCGTTTTAGGAGCTGGAGCAAGCTGCCATCGCCGCAGCGTCAGTCGGGCAAGGTGTGTGTTGTGTGAGAGTCTTAAAATCTGCTTGTTTATCGGGGAGCATGTGGATTTAGTGGGGGGTGTTGTTATTGTCTATCAAGCCAGCAACCGCTGAGATCCCTAGGTTCAAACGCTGGACGGGAATTTAACTCGGATTGGCAGGTTTGCCGTGCGCCGTGTTATCCCCTGTGCCACGACTCCACCCCATGTTGCTTAAGAGTGGGGGTTGGGGGGTGGGGTTCATATTGTTTGTGCAAGGGATAATTAACGCTGTTGAGATCCTGCGTCTAAATCCGGGTTTCGGCTGCCCACGATTAAACTGCGTTGATGATCGTCTTAAACTTGGTCACTAATGACTGCAAAAAAAAAAAGGCCGTGACATTCACGTTTTTTCAAGTCGAAGGTTCCGAACGTCTACAACGCTACCTCGTCTCCGCGTGTCCAGAGCTGCGTCAGCGCACGCCGTCGCAGAGGGGCGTCAACGACCCCCCCACGGTATCGTCTCCGCTCGGACCTCACTCGGGCCCCCCAATCCAGACCCCCGGCAGAGGCCCCACGGGACCGCCACCGGCGGGCAGAGGGGGGAGCCCCACCGTGCCGAGCACTCCCGGGGGTCCTGGGACTGCCCCCGGGGGCCCCCCAGAAAAGGGGCTGCTGGCGGGGGTGGGGGGCGCGTCGGGAGCTTTTGCACGAAGACCCGGCGGCCATGCTGCCGCCACCCCTGCTGCCGCCCACGTGGGTTTCTTTCCGCCCCCCCACCTTGGTAAGGCTCGGGTTTGATGCCCCGTTGGTTCGCATGTTGCTCTGCTTGCGTTGAACGCCACCAAGTCCTCGCTCAGCGCGTCGGCGTTTGCGCAGCGACGCTTTTTCCGCGACGAAGCCAGTGCTTCCGTTGGGGAACGCTTTTCCGCGGAACGCACGCACGGTTATCACGCGGTTTCTGAGCGGTGGACAACGAACTGCAGTTGATTATCCGGCGCCGCGCGATTATTCGGCTTCCAACATCCGGCAGTCTCCTGCTGATCCGGCAAAACCGCTCCAAAGGCTGTACCAGTCCGGCGATGAACAGGAGTGTAGTTGTACCTACATCACCCCATGCAGACTCTTTGAGATTGGAGTGGTAGGTACAGTAAATGCAGTAACTTTTTACAGGAGCATTTTTATTTTTGTCTATTTTTATGTTGATACCAATTTGCTATAGTAAACTAATTTTAAACACTAAAAAAACATACGCAACACCTAAAACTTAATGTTATGCAAGAATGTGCAAAATTAAGCTATTTTAAATCGTGATGTGATTATCCGACGTTTTGGAAAATCCGGCGCCCTCTTCCCCCGCCGAACCTGCCGGATAATCGATGAGCTACTGTACTTTCTTGAGCTGCACGGTTGAGCGTTACAGTGATGCAGTAACGCGGCGACGTGCCATCGGTTATTTCTCCTGACATCTTCCTGTGTGTGTACCTACATTGTAACTCACGAAACGTCATCGTTGCTGCATTAGTTATGGGGAAATTGTTTTAGCTCAACGCGCGTACGTGCGCGTGTGTGTACGTGTGCGCGTGTGTGTACGTGTGCGCGCGTGTGTGTGTGTGTACGTGTGCGCGTGTGTGTGTACGTGTGCGCGTGTGCGTGTGTGTGTGTACGTGTGCGCGTGTGTGTGTACGTGTGCGAGTGTGTGCGCGTGTGTCTACGTGTGTGTACGTGTGCGCGTGTGTGTACGTGTGTGCGTGTGTGTACGTGTGTACGTGTGTGTACGTGTGCGCGCGTGTGTGTGTGTGTACGTGTGCGCGTGTGTGTGTACGTGTGCGCGTGTGTGTGTGTGTGTGTACGTGTGCGCGTGTGTGTGTACGTGTGCGAGTGTGTGCGCGTGTGTCTACGTGTGTGTACGTGTGCGCGTGTGTGTACGTGTGTACGTGTGTGTACGTGTGTGTACGTGTGCGCGTGTGTGTACGTGTGCGCGTGTGTGCGCGTGTGTCTACGTGTGTGTACGTGTGTGTACGTGTGTGTATGTGTGCGCGTGTGTGTACGTGTGCGCGTGTAGGTATGCACCCGCCGGGTCCTCCCCTCCCCAGGCCCGTGCTGCCGCGGGAGCGCGGCGTTGCCGACCGCGTCATCGAGTACCTGGTGGGCGACGGCCCTCAGAACCGGTGAGGGCTCGTCGCACTCTCCCACAGGGGCCCATCGTCTTCATGCATCACCTGTGTCCCTCTGTCTGTCCATCTGTCTGTCCCTCTCTCCGTCCCGCTGTGTGCACGCCTGTTTATCGGTTTTTCCATTCGTCTGTTTGTCTTTCTGCCTGTCCTCCGTTTCTCTATCGGTATGTCTGGCTGTTTATCTGTCCATCTGTCTCCCTGTCTGATTATATCTGCATTGTATTTCTGTCAGTTCTTTTATCGGCATGAATTTCGATCTGTCCGTCTGGCCATCCGTCTGCCCATTCGTCTGCCAGTCTTATTATCTGCATTTCCCCTCTATCTATGTATGGCTGTTCATCTGTCTGTGTCTTGTCTCCACCTCTTGAGACTCGGTGAGGATTTCCTGAACGGATATAGGATATCGATATTATTACTGTAGTGGTGTTTTTATTTAAAGCTTTCGTGACTGCAGGGATTCATATTCTTGGTTCTTTTGGTAAAGTCACGTAGAAGGGAAACAATAAAATAAGAAAAATATAAAACAAAATTCCCACGACGTTTCGACTGCAACACAAGAAATCATCATCAGGTGTGAAAACCACAGCAAGAAAATTTGAAAAAGTGGCGTTTTTTTACGTTAGCACCACGGAGAGCGATTTGGCAGTTTGTTCAGATGGACGAGTCCATCTATGTTCGGAAAAGAGGAAGGGTGGGATGTGACTTTACCGAAAGAACCAAGAATATGCAGTGTTGTTGTTGCACAGTATAGTGCTGAGTGTACACTCCAGTCCTTGATAATACTTCAGGCTGTTTGTGCAGGACAGCCCTTCGTGAAAATGAGGAACTGAGACAGCCCTAAAAGCCTTCGTAAAACAATTAGGGTCACAGACCGTGTTTAAAGAAGTCCCCAACAGCTGACGAAAACACATCTCAGTTAACATTGTGGCATTCCCTCCCCCAATAATACTGTGTGGCCGGAATGCGTGTGTCATATTGTAAGCACGTGGTCTGTTTACCATTTACCTGCCACCCCCCTCGCCCGCTTCCCCACACCCCATGCAATACGGCGAAAGCCGAGATTTACGTCGTTTTGCAAATACGTCGTTAATTTATTAATACCCCTACCCTATTTTCCGTCGGCTCAACCCACGCACGCTTACGTCGCTGACAGCATCCTCCGTAGCCTCTCCGCCTTCGCCTCCACCACCTATCCTGTAGTGCGCCACGGTGGCGAGATGTTAACTTCCTCGCCTCTTATCCAGGAGGTCATGGGTTGTGAATTCGATCCCGACCCTGACACCTGTATATTTGGAGTTTGCATGTGTCTCTCTCTCTCTCTTCGTGGTCGCATGGATTTTTGTCTGCATCCCCCGGTTTTTCCCTCCACATTTAGAAACATGCGCTTAAAGTATTTGGCTACTGCTAAAAATGTCCATGTGGTCAGGGTAGCTTCTGAAAAGAGCTGTATAGCTCAATGGGCCTTACCTGGTAAAATACAATTTAAAAAAAGTTTCTCAATTGCTTTGTTACGTTTCGATATTCGTCCTCGCACCTTTGAGGAACGCATCTCCCCCCCCCCCCTCGACGTAAGCCACGGTATCGCTGTACAACTCAACATGTGATTAGTTCTGGTCTCATTGGAAGTCCCGAGTGTAACATTAGCGTGAGATTTCTAAGCATTGGAAGTCGTTGACTCTCACTTATGCGGAGCACAGTTTGATGTCCTGTATTGTCAGCGTGTGCATCACATTTTAATTTTTCTTTAGGGGTATTTGTCATTAAAAGCAATCATAATTTCAATGAATTAATGGATCGTTAATGACATTGCCGGTTATATGAACGGCAAATATTGTACGTTTCTGAGATTGGTTTCCATTCACTGTTTAGTTTGAATCACCGCGTGTGTGTGTGTGTGTGTTTACTGTCTGGTACCCCAGGTACGCTCTCATCTGCCAGCAGTGCTTTTCCCACAATGGGATGGCGTTGCGAGAAGAATTCGAATACATAGGTGGGTTTCCCCAACAGGTGCCCCTCACATTACCAATAGTATTGTTTATGCTTGCCTTCTGTGTGGTCCTGTGTGGCCTCATCGTCAGCCCGTGTGTGTGTGACGTGGGGAGTGGTGGCGCAGCGGTTAGTGCGCCGAATATCTGAACCGGTCCTGGGCCTCCCCCTAGTTCGACTCAGCCTTAAATGAGTAGCTGCTGTGATGTGTAAACATCGCCACCGGGGAAATAAAGGCGGCCGGGCGTGGCAGTGGCCACCTACCCCCTCGTTTAAACATCGCACCAGGTGCTCATATGAGGCTGAGTCGAGCTAGGGGAGAAGGCCCAGGACCGGTTCAGATAATCGTCACTCGTGTTGGTGGTGGCCATGAGCGGGAATCAAACTCAGGTGGCTGGGTTCGTGGCGCCAGTGCGCTAACTCCTGCGCTACCGCCCCCACCATTGACACATGCACACACTGACACACATACTGACACACTGACACACAACACCCGCTGTTCGCCACTAAGTGGCGGTGACATCACCACGCACTTTGAGGCCACATGAAATGACAAAGATTTGCTGGCAGAAGGGCACGGGACAGACACACACACTCGCACACAAAAAGATCCCCCATATAGCCTTAACAGACTGTTTGGGGCAAGTGTTGTTAGCAAGCACCTATGAAGGTCGGCACAACACACGAGGGGGGGAGGCCCAGGACCGGTTCAGATAACCGTCACTGGTGTTGGTGGCTGCGAGCGGTAATCGAACTCTGGTCGCTGGGTTACACACTGACACGCGCTCACCAGGCTGCCGATCGACCAAGTCGACCAATTGTCCCGGCTGTAGGCGATGACACACAGGCGCGTGTCTCGTCCCCCGCAGCGTATCGCTGCGCCTACTGCTTCTCGCTTAACCCCGCGCGGAGAACGCGGCCCATCGCCCCACGCTTCGGGGACTCGGGGGCCCAGGCCCAGCCACAATCTCGCCCCGGCTCCAACAGCGCCGCCGCCGCCACCGCCGCAGGGCCTGCCCCAACCTCGGCCGGAGCAGACGGCCATAAGGCGGCCCCAGCAGTGGGCGATGAAGCGTCCGGTGAGTTAGTGAGGGCGTGCGCTGGTTGTCGTTGTCGTGGTGTGTCCGTGTGGGTGTGTCGGTGCATCTGCGTGGGTCTGTCCTGTGACCTGTCGGCGAGCCTTCGACACTTTCATGTGGCCTCAAAGTGCACCTGGCCTGGCACTGGTGCCGTGGTGACGTCGGCGGGTATTGGTATTGGCTGATGTGGTATTGGAGGATGTGGAGCTGAGTGGCACCCATTCCCAGCGGTGTCAAGATCGAGCTCTGTGGTGGAGGCTCGTGAAGGGACTCGACTGGGCAGTTTGAGGCAGTCGCCCTCCAACAACAGTGAAGGGCGGAGGAGCGAACAACGAGCAGCACGCCAGGTTGCTAAAAGTTGAAACCGTGTCGAGCACAGGTGGTGCATCTGCCAGTCGTCTCAAGTCCCGTAACCTCCTGCCGGCCGTGACTTGCATCAAGTGGCCTCGAGATGTAGTAATGCCATTGCCACTTATTGGTTAACGGCTGCTGGTGTGTGTCTTTGTTTTTGTGTCTGTACGTGTCTGCGCGAATATGTCCTTCCTGTGTGCAAGTCTGTATGTATATGTGAGTGAATATACGGGCGTGGTGCTGGCCACCT